ATAAACTAACTTTACAGAATTTGGACTGAAATATGAAAGGCGTTGAGATATGATTTTGGAACTTTATGATCGAAATTGCAATATAGTAAAAGTAAGATATTTTAATGTTATTTGAATGTTTAAAATCTTGCTAAAGAATCTGATCGAATAAAACTTGTGCCTTATAAACAGAGAAGTATGAGAACACTGTATACCGGTGCTAATTTTTATCTGTCGAGTAAATTAAAGACAGATAAAAATTATAATCACCGCTCTATTTATAATACAGTGTAATTACTTATAAAAACCATTTAAAAAGCATTTGAGTAGGTTTAGTAAAATTACGAAACAATTAAAAGTTTTGTTTAATAATGCATGTCTCATTATGTGCACTGTAACTTTAATTGTATTAACTTAACACCAGACAGAAAATTTTATATTAATAAATCAAATGAAAATACAATAGGGCATAGCTAAAAATGATGTCAAAATTTGCAAGCAAATTTTTGCCTGCAATGGCCACCAGTTAAGAAGATGATTTTTCTTGTGTATTCTTTTTTAGATAGTAAACGTGATACTACTAGGAACGGAACTGTTGTGAGTTCGGAGCGAAAATTTACATAATTTACAAGTAATCAATCAGGCTAATTTTATATTTTACATTATTAGTATGTAACGTGATTATCATCATTATCAATCTCGATTATCAATCACAATTATTGGTCGAGATTATGTGCCAGGACAGAAATTTATGTAACCGAAATTTTTTCATAGCGCGTAGAAAGTAATAGTCCTTCGCTTTGCTCCGGACAATAAGTTATATTAATGTAAAATTAACTGACAGTTTGTTTTGTGAAGAGAATTTAATAAACCTCGAGATTAATAATGCTACATTTCGCTTATTCGAACTTAAACTTGTTGTACCTCAGTTGGGAACCTGTCTCAGTTCTGGACTGAGACAACTGAATTCTGGACTGCGTGTCTGGGTTCTGAACTGAGACAACTGAGTTCTGGACTGAGTGACTGGGTTCTGAACTGAGACAGGTCCTGAACTCAGACACAACAAACTCATATCTCTACATGTTTTTAATCGATTTTCAATCCTTTTTTTCTTTGCTTATCCAAGCTATCTCTACATTGTTTTTGGAACATCTAGTCGAATTATGAAACTATTGTTACTATAAAAGGAAACAACTGCGCATTATAACTCTTAGAGTCGTCATGTTGCACGCTTATTTGCATTTCGTAGTAGCGATTACGCTATAATTTGCCCATATATCATAAACATATTACGGCTGGTTCAAAGAATAAAAGAGAGAGAAAAAAGAACACAAAATTTTGTTTAGAAAAGTGTCGAGATATGAATTTGAAGTTTTATGGTTGACATCGCATAGTATAGTCCGATACAAAATGTTCGATGTTTGGGAAATTTGTTGGAGAATCCGCTCGAGCTGAAATTTTATGTGTAATTAGGCAGTGTCGTAAACCTTTGCGCTTGGAAATTTTAAGAAGTTTAGGTAATACAACCGTTCGGATACTTATGATCGCTACTATACGTCTGTTATTTTAGAACATGAGAAAAAATACAACGCAACTAGCAAGAATAGCAAAGATTTTTATCAAAAATTCCGCTATTTATTTATATGGTTGAATTAACTATGCGTTAATGCTGAACCATCATCGTTTTGCATAAGTTAGATATACTGTAATTAGCAAACACTTCCAACAGCTCGCTTAGTATTTTAAATATTGTTAGACGTGTACGCTTTTGTTTATAAAAACTCAGTATACCCGTTAATAATAGCTAAATAATTAAATGTATGTATACATGTTGGTGTCTGAGTTCAGTTGTCTCAGTCCAGAACTGAGACAGGTTCCGAACTGAGGTACAACATAAAGACGTGCTTATCATTTTTCCAAAGTCAACCCTTTTAACTAGAACGCGCGTATTTGTGTTTCTCAGTAAATATTTTCTCATGCTGAATGCGTACTGTAAATTGTCGTTGGCATTTATTGAATAATACGTATTTAGGCTTACAAAGTAAATGTAGTTATATGCGTTCTGTAAACGAAACCACTTAGCCTAGATACCATGCTGATGTAATATAAACAGTAACGACAAACATCAAATGTTTCAAGCTGTGCATCAGTTTGGAATAGTTTCAGTTCTGGACCAAGACGACTATGTTTTAGGCTGAGTTACTGAATTCTGAACTGAAATCTTAATTAAACTAAAGTACACAGGCGTTTTTACTGGTTAATTTACTATCATTCTATACCTGTTTTGATTCTTTCTCGGTCCTTTTGAACTTATAGTAAACCTATTTGGTGATAGCGATTGCCCTCTCTCTATGCCAAACGGAGGTATTGGGAGTAGAAAAATTATTGGTGACTTTCTGAAACTACGTCGAAAGAAAATCTGGAATATCCGGGTTGTTTTGCAGATAGTTAATCCATTCCGTAGCTTGTTATTAAACCTGTCGTATGTTTGCCTTACAACGAATTTAGTATTAGCCCCTCGGGCTGTAACATTTTATACCCAAAATGTAGTTCAATGGGAATGGTATTGTTTGCGAAAATGACAAAAGTAAGATGATACAAATCATTCCGTCTTTATTATCCGACATCCGTCCGCGAACAATCTATGCAAAATAGAATAATTGTACAACGTTTGCCTGTTGCAATTAAACAATACTTATATGATTCTGTATCTATGGCATAAGTAGTACAGTAAATGAATACAAGTTATATCCCACTTTTTTCCAGATTTAGCTAATATCTCTTCCATGTGACGAGCGGAATGCTTTCAACTTTAAATTTAAATAGCAAATCTCACTTGCTTTATGTTCTATTGTGGAGAATTAATCTATTTTATTTATTTTTAATTTGCTATATGTCTTAGACGTAAATACATTTAATTATATTACATTTATCTCAAGTGCAAATTATTTTCAACACTAATGCCATTTTAACAGCTTCGCTTGCTCGTTCTTCTTTCGTAATTTTGTTGTACAAATAGTAAGCTCAGACATAGTAATATGGCAATGCTGTGTGAACAGTAAAGTTACAAAATTAGTATATATCTGCAAGCGGGGCAACCGAGAACATTTTCCCGTGCGTTATCAAGCTTCAAACAACCCCTACCTGCCTCAACTGTGGTAAATGATAAATAAATGCAAATACATTATTTCACATCACGACAGGTATTCGGATAAAAACCAGAAAAAGTAGAAATTTGTTAGTAAATATAAATGCTTCTGTAAAACTTTACTATTACCGACACCGAATTTATGGATGTTTATTATATAGATAATTTAGGTAATTGGTATCACACGACAATTGAAATTCTATGAATCTATAGATAGACTAGCCTGTATGACTCGGGTAGTTCATAAGATAGAAGAGATAAGATAGAGGTAGATATTCGTAGACTTTCCCGTATTCTAAGCTATTGTTATACGTATAATCTTGCTGTCAATATTAGTGTGAGGAATGTGCTACGTTGAATATTGTGGTTCTCTTCTGCATTGCATTTATATTATTAGAAAATTATATATCTTGCGCTGTTAGCATGGAAAAAATACGTGGGTTAGGGAGAGAATTAGAAGATTGGAAGCGAGATAGAACGGGCCATGCATGCAATTCACGGGTTTGCACCTGCATTACCCAGGGTTGTACTAATACTAACATTAGGTTGAAAGTATGCAGCAAAGTTTGTATTTAGTCACACATGCAGAAAAAAAAATTGCTTAGCACACATTTATAAACGCTATGCCATACAGCATACAATAATGTTTTTGTAAACCTATTTCTAAATAAATAAACATAATAGCTTGTGGCGCAATACTTCGCGTCACAAACGTTGCTCAACAGTACTTTTCTGTCGTATTGTTTACGGTGGATGGAATTTTTCCCTCACACACAATCACAACTCTTGCTGTCAATGCGGCAGAATTTATTATACTTGCTGTGCGTAATTTAATACTGTTGACATTACAAGACAGTATAAAACGTAATATAATACTAAATGAACCATTGCACTGATTTTTGGGAAACTTACCCCCCAAAATTCTCTTGTTTCATATTCTGTGAGACGTAAACGAACAATTAACTAAGTGTTATCGAAGCATATTATTCGCCCACCGTGTTATCGTAGTAACTAATCCCTCGAATTTATTGCGATTGTGCTTACCAAATACCCCGAGTCTGGTTTCGCAACGTTTGCGTAATTATAATTGTCAAGCAATGCTGACCAATGAATCAATTCCTGGATAACTGCAATAGGTAATACTCTACGCACATGGTTGCCTAGTTTGTATCGACATATTTTATACAGTCTATTCTCATTACAGCATAATTAGCAAACCCATCCCAATCTACGCAATGCACAAACCGTAGTTTTTGCGAAAATGCCGCTAGAGCAGCGCAAAGCAAGCCAAAAGGGTAAATGGAAATCGAGTTTCCCATCTATCAGTTGTGGCGTAAATTCTTTGTTTCTGTAAACTGATACAGAGAAATAGTACATTAAATCGATGCTGTGTCCATGATATGTCTAGATGCACTTTACGTCTATTGCATAGTCGCTATTATTTATCAGCTAAATAGTTATACAATTATTTTATCATCTGATTTCTATTGATTTCGTGATACCTAACTAGGTAACTAATTATATACAATTGGATTTCCATATATGTGCTTGAGTGTCCATATATTTAGTCAAATACACGTAACGAACAATCAAGCGAAAACCAAACTGGTAACAATATTTCGGCTCCCCAAACCTTAAGTCGCCTCTCCTTTGATAACACTCATATACAGAACTCCAAAAACGACTACTTCACGCAGATCGCAACCGGACTGTATATAAATGACTATTTCAGCACCAACGATGCAAGCAATACGAAACCTTGGTAGAGGAAAAGCCTTCTTAGCCACGGCTGCCCTACACTTTAACCATTCCTTTTGTAAAACAATAACTACTTCAACGCTCATTTCCTCCCACCTTATTACCGAAATCCAACATGGCGGCTCTCTCCAGAAAATGCTGCAACGTACGTAAGAACGTCGATCTAGCTTGTTTAGATTGCAGGAGCCGAAAAAGAAAATGTACAGGGCGCCCCGTGTGTACTGCATGCCAGAACAACAACAAGCTTCTATGCACATTCAGTCCTCGACTGAATCGTCTCAGGTCTCAACCTCGTAGAGAAATTATTCAGTCGAGACAACAGAGAATTACAAAAATCGTGGAAAATCTCAACAAAACTACTCTACCAGAGGAAATGAAGGCTAGATATAGGGCCATGATACTTAATGGCGAACTTCTTCCGGAAAACATAAACAAATTGTTAACGGACAGCTATAACAGTAATAATCTTAACAGCATTCAAGGTATGTAATATATATATATATATATATAATTTATTGTTGCTATTGTTGAAAAGGCTACAACATCGTAGTTTATTATGGTAGAATACTTTGCTTGTAGTGTCTGAGTTCGGAACGTGCGTCGGTTCAGAACTCAATCGCTCAGCCCGAGAACTCAACTGTATCTACGCGAGGAACTTTTATTCACGACGAGGCGCTCGCTAGAGAACTCAACTGTATCAGCTCCGAATCCAGACACTCGATCTAGGACTCAATTGTCTCAGTCCAGAACGGAGACATAATCTCCTCAACTAAGAGACAGCTGTGTTTTCGTAAATAACTAGGCCTATATCGAATATCTGACACGCTTATTGTTAGTAAAACATATATATTCACATTATCTCCCCCTTTCACTTATCCATAATTAGCAAGCAGTGATTTCGGCTCTTCTAATGACAACACCAACACAAATCACACAGACTCGCTACGGCCGCCAAGCGAGTATATAAACCACTACTTTATGGCGAGCGACTATTCGTCTATGACTGCTCGGAATTTGTGTGTTCAAATACAGTTCAGATATTAATTGAAGATGTCACTCTCTGGCTTTGGAAGTCAAAAATCTCATTAAGATGTTCTTCGATTTGTCAAATTACGTTATTTCAAATACCATCATTTACAATATATGTAACAAAATAAGATATATGATATGACGATTCAACTATGATTATATGTTATATTGGTTTCCAATAAACTATGCATATACAAATCACTGTATATGCTGTGCGACACATTCCTGTAAATATCGTGGTGTCATAAACAAAATTGGAAATAGCAATAAGAAATTGATTATCGGATCTGCTCGAAAACCCCAAACTCAAATAGCTGAAAGACATTATTAATTATTTCCCATCAACCAAAAGACGTATTAATACTCAAAAGCGTATTATAGCATGTTTATCCTTATAATGCTTTTACTATATATATTTTTAAGGCATAATTGTTAAAAGCTATGTTGACTCGATAGAAAAAGTCTGAAGTGAATGCGGTTAGACTAACAGCGTTTCATGAGCTGTGGGAATTTTTGTGAAATCCCATGTGAATTTGAACTACAACTTGGATATCCCCCCAATTTGATTATCCACATATGTGAATATCTGAGATGTGTCAATGAGAATCCGTTTCTTACACTAGGACAATCGGGAATATGAAGGGGAATGGCCATTTGTCTTTGGGTTAGTCGTCTTTGATTGAATCACAATTCTCAAAGTCACTCTGTGTATCTCGTTTCTTCCCAGCTTCCAGGTTCATGGAACGTTGAACGCCACACACGCACATCTCCTCACCACTGTTCGCAAAGAATGCAAGTAAATCGTCATCTCCATAATAATAAATCAAATAGTCAAACACATCGATTCGAAAGTGGCTTTTTTTTTTCAATGTTTCATTGATTATTTATTGATATATGAAGAGTATCTACAATGATTCATTCTAATGATAAATAAAAAGGAAAAAGAAAATACAATCATAACTATATTTACAAAATGATCGTTGATACCCATCTGATATACTACTCATATATTCTTGTATAATCGATCAATACAAATACCCACAATACACTATTTTACATCTGTAATTTTGTTGTAAGGCAGGAGTAAGGGACTGGGAGAGGGAAAGACTCTGTTAATTGACCAAAAATCCCCCTCGCGCAAAATTACAGTTAAGCAATGAACAAACATAAAATTACAAAAAATTTCCACTGCCCCCGAGATATGCCTTCTAAAGAAAGAAAAACCCTCATTCCTTTTCTTCCTCACAACTCTCATTGTTTCAATACCTCTTCAAAGCCTTGGGAAGTCTAACCATGGCCAGACTGAAAACATACCAGATTCCATAACTCATAAGCACGATGATCAAAAGTCTCAACAATCCGACCATGATCCCATCGGCTCTGTTTCGCTCTTCCATCAGAGATTCTATTAGTTTTTTCTCTCTTGCTCTACAGATATCCAGCTCTTGTTTCATATCTTGAATACATCTCACAGCCTCTTCACGCCACTTGATTTCTTTTTGATAACGTGCTGATGATGACGATGACGATGACGAATCTTGTCGGTGAGTTTTGGATTGGGACTTCTGCTCGCTTTGGGCTTGTTGTGCTAGGGCGTCTGAGAGAACGAGAGACATTGCGTCTAGAAGGATATGATGTGGGATGAAGGCCGATTGTTTCATCTACGTATTAGGAAACAGATAACGAATAAGTGTCAATTAATGTACAAAACATCGTAAACCATTAATTTCAAACCACTTACTTGAATCAGTATTGTAGGACCGAGGTAAGAGAAATCAATATATTTCAAAAGTTCTTCTATATTAACTTCTTCTTGCTCTTCTTGTTCTTCTCGTTCATCCTCGATAATTTGTTCCTCATTCTTCTTTTCAAAGGTTGATTCCCGTGGAGAACCAACCGCTTGTTCGTTGGCAACAGTTGATCCCTTTTCAATAACCTCGACGTTATCTTGACTTAATGCATCGTGCTTGGCAACGTCACTCTCTTTCTGTGTTTCGGTTCCTAGTCGAGATTGCTCCGTTTGAGCAACTGAGGCGTTTTCTGTTATCGACATAGCATTTCCTCCGTCGACTATAGCTTCGAGATGCAGTTTGCTATCATTGCCAGATACCATGTTTCCGTTTTCTGCAATTTCCTTTTCCATGGGGAAATCATTTTTGTTATCTGCTTTCATACCGACTTCTAAAATCGCATCTATTGTCGGCCGGTCGGTTTGTTCGGTCTCCAACGTACATACGTCTGCCTTCTCAATAACCGTTTCGTTTCCTTCTGCCTTGTGTGCCTTTATATCGCCCGTGATTTTATCTTGTTCGATAGCGATCTCGGTTTTCTCTCTCCCGCTAACACT